CAAAACAGGAATCATTAACACCCAATGAAGTAAAGCTCAGTTACTACAGAAAGATAATTTTATAGATTGGTTTACTGAGGCACAGGGAAGCAACTTGCTCAAGGATATACAGATAGTCAGTATCAGGATTAGAAGCTGGTTCTCCTGATTTCCAACCCTAAACTATAATCACTAACTTATCCTATTCCCCTTATGAAAATATACAGTTTGATCCTGCCAGGTGCTGAGTAATTCAACTCTGACTTCAATGGAAGCTGAGGGAACTCAAAACCTTGTGGCTTCTGCCACTAAATGCCACATAAATCGTTTAACCACACTTCTAACAACATAACTATTCTTAATAAGTTTTCATTATGGAACAAATAATCTTCTTAGTCATCGTTACATATAGATAAGATCCTGAGTACAGCATTCATTTCTGCAATCATTGAATCAATACAAATATTAATTAAAAAGAAAAGATGGATCTTGTCAGTCCCTGAAGAGAAGTCACCTGCTTTACACTATAACCCTAGTTTTCATCTTTGCTCTGACACTGAGTTCATCTGCAGACTAGGGCAAATCTCATCATCATGCTATGAACAGCAATAAATACATTAACGTGAGAGCCACATAGAGGCTTGAGAGGAGCATTAATATGTATAAAGCGCTTTACAGAGGGAAAAAATCCAGATATTTTAAGTGCTGATAAAGAATGGCTTATTCATTGTTATTAATTGTTGCCTCCAGGTGACTATAAATCAGAAAAAATCTGTACTATTCATATAGGCTGGGATTTTCAAAGGAGTCTGAGGAAGTTAGTTAGGTGCCAGGTTGAGTTTCAATGGAAGTTGGGCACCTAACTCCTTGGGGTACAACTACACAGCAACATTATTTCAAAATTACTAGCGTTATTTCAAAATAACTTAGTCCATGTCTACAGAGCAGGCAGTTATTTTGAAATAATGTCAAAATATTGTCAAGCTGGAGTTCTTACTCCAATTCCTGTAAACCTCATTGTATGAGTAAGGGAAGAGGAAGAGTGTTCTATTTCGAAATAAGTTCTGTGTAGACCCTCCCAATTTTGAAATAAGCTATTTCAAAATAAGCTACGCAATTGACATAGTTTGAGTTAAATTCTGTTGTGTAGACACACCCTTAGGGTATGTCTACATTGCATTCCTCTTTCGAGAGAGGAATGCAAATGCAGCTGAGTGAAATTGCAAATGAAGCACGGATTTGAATTTCCCACGCTTCATTTGCATAATTGCGTCCGGGCGCTATTTCAAAATACCCTATTACGAAAAAAGAAACACTTTCTAGACGCGGTTATTTCGAAAGAAACCCCTTCTTTTGAAATTACCCTTACGTCTTATAAAATGAGGTTTAAGGGTTATTTCGAAAGAAGGGTTTACTTTCAAAATAACCGCATCTAGACAGCGTTTCTTTTTTCAAAATAGGGTATTTTGAAATAGAGCCCGGACGCAATTATGCAAATGAAGCACGGGAAATTCAAATCCGCGCTTCATTTGCAATTTCGCTCAGCTGCATTTGCATTTCTCTCTCGAAAGAGGAATTCGGTGTAGACATACCCTCAGTGTCCCTGGAAAATCTCAGCTACTGTTGCCTAATCCTGCAGTCATTGCTCACAATGTGCCCCTGAAAAGTGTTGAGGGCCTGATTGTTAGGGATACTGAGCAGTACACCTAGCATGTCAGTGGAAATCATTGAAAGTGTAGGTGTTCAACAGCTCTGGAAAATCAGGCCCTCAACTCCCACTGGCTACCATGGGAGCAGAAGCCCTTAGGACTGGATCCACACCATTTAATGCACTGTGTCTTTTTGTGGCATTAACTAAAAGCCACGATGGTTACCAGATTTTCTGGCTGTCTGGCAGCTTGTACTTTGCCACCAAAGGAAAACAATTCAATGTCCCTAAGCCAGTCTATGAACTACGGCATTAAGGCTACCTATTGTAACTTAGTATGGGGCTGCCGTTGCCAAACAGACTGGTTACCATAGGAAACCTTTCTATCATTGCACTGTGAAGCACAGAAGCCAAACCCAAGTGCTCTGTCTTGCCTGTGAAATCAAACAGATGTTTTTATAATCTTTGATGGAGCCAAGTTTTGCCCTTTTCCCAGCAGAAGAAAAAAAAGACACAGTGCTAAAGCAGCTCTGTTGTTTAATAATTTGTGACTTTTGCTAAAGGGGAAAATAGGCATCTTTATCCGGCATAAAAATTTATATTTCAGTGTCTTTGTAGCCATGTTGATCCCAGGATACGTGGATACACGGCAGATGAGGTAATATATTTTAATGGACCAAATTTTGTTGATAGGAGTGAAATGTTTTCAAACTTCAGAGAGCTCATATTCAGATCTGGAAAATGTAACCAGCTAACTACAAGATGGGACAAGTTGTTAAACATCCAGTAAACATATGTTGCCAGAAACCACTTAAAATAAAGTGGGCATGAGTGATAATTTCCAACCTGAGTTTTGTAAAGCTCAAAAGCTTGTCTCTTGCACTCTTGTTTGTCTCTTAGTTCAATAAAAGATATTGCCCTCCCACCTTGCTTCTATTAACATTCATGTCCACTTAGTAACAATTTGTGACAATGGTAAACTTGCACACCAAATGCAATGAAACAATTCAGCCTGTGTTCCCTCTCTATGTACTGTACACATCCTGCACTGTCCTGCTGCAGAAATATACAGAGGGACGTGGGAAGAGAACAGCTACAACTGAACACACATTCTTAGAGCTGCCTTTCCTCCATGTCTGTACAGAGAGCAACAAATGAAAAGAAAGAGAAAAATAAAGTCTGTGAGTCACCACTGGTTCACTGGGGACAGGGAACGTGGGAATAAAGATGGTCCTTGATAAAAGAGGGGGTGGTTGTATGTATGCAAAAACCACTGCATGTTTGACTTCATAGTAAGCCACGTAGGAATCCAATTGATTGTCACAATGAACCTAAATTTACACATGGATACTGAATTAATGTAAATCATTGCCAAAAAGGAGCTTATTGTACTCAGCATGTCTTCCTCAATTTTCTAAATTGTGTACATAAACCAGAATCACTCATAGTGATGGATCAGAGGAGGCTATGAGATGGATTTGAACAGAGACAGTCCTGGGAATGCAGAATCCACATACAAATTCTAACACCCACTTCAATCCAGGGCAGAAGTTTGGCTTCATACTACTGTAAACCTCTGAGAGAGGTCTGGGTTTGGCTGCTGACATACTCTTTCTCAACCATCACCCAAATCCAAAGTCTGACAGGGATTCAGGTGCTAAGGTCTGGGATAGACCATTAGAGCCTGATATGCATCACTGAAGTCTATGGAGATTTGCAACAGATTTTAATGGGGTACAGTGTGCAAGTTCACACCCACAGAGACTCAGGCCTGTACACAGGGCGAGTGCAAAGGGTGCGAAAGCACCCCCCATGGTCCCCTAAGTAAGTATACTCCGCAGGAGCAGTGAGCTGTCTGAGCCTCCCACAGCCATGCTTTGACCAGCTGAGGGAAGGCTGGGGCTGATTTCCCAGCTTATGTGGGGGACCATTGGGGTGCATTTACACCCTTGTGGTCCACATTTACAAAAAAAGCACATACCCCCACAGAAATGCGTATGGGCCTGAGACTAGTTATAACATTCCGGTCAGGCTTTTGGTTCTGATTCCAAGCACCACCAACCCAAAGTCCAGTGGTTCTCACATGCAGGCTTCTGACTGAATCCCATCTCTAATTTGCATTTATACGACAATGCTTATGTCAGATACACAGAGATGTGAAAGCTGTATCATTTTCGATGTTTACACTGGATTAGACAAAGCACCGGAGAATGGACTGAAGAGAACAATTCCAATGGACAAACTAATAAATCTTTTCCGCCTCTCACTTCCATGATTCTCAAATCCCACCAGACTTCAACCTGATGGATTGTTATCACTTACTCAGCTAGTCAAGAAGGTTCACGGTTATTAATCCAAACATGAGACCCAATTCTAAAGTCCTTACAATGATTTTAAAAGTGTTTTGCCTGAGTAATAACTTCAAGATTGGGACCATGGAGAATCCAGTCTCAGCCAAGCATTCCAGTCTATGCACTGCTGGATATCAGCAGGGGCTCACCACACTGTCTGTTTGGGGTGTGCTGAGCCCTGTCCTGCAGAGCTCTAGGTTGCCTTTTACAGTCTCTCATCTACTAAACAGCTGGGTTTCTGCCAGCAGGTGGTTTCCCTAGGATAAAATCATCTCACTGTAGTGTAGTATCACATGGATTACCTAACTTTTTTCCACCGACAGGGGGTTACAGTGCCTTGAACCACACCCCTTCTGCCTCAAAATCTGCTCTCTTGAGCTGCACTTTTATCAGAATTAGGGGCTCTCCCCAGTAGGGATTCCCCAACTCTGCACTCTGATCTTCCACAGGGACATATCTGCTCCCTGCGCCACGGCCCTTGAAAGGGAACCTTCCAGTTTCTCACCCTCTACAGAAGAGGTGTCCCACCATCCTAGAAAACTAAGCTGCGGCCTTATCTGGGGCACCTTCCGAACTTTCTCAGTGGTTCTCCTAATGTTGGGACTCTGCTCTCCTGGACTCCGCTGTTACCTGGGTCCCCACGAGGGTGGGCAACTGCAACATCCCAGGAGCCTCGCTCCCCATCCCAGAGGAGGAATCCCCACTCCTGAGATCCAATATCAGCGAGGATGCTGAAGCTCCCCTGAGCGGGGCAGCGGGGTCCCCACTAACGACAGGCGCGTCTCCAGAGGTGCCTCCCTCCCACCACAAGGCTGCCCAGGGGGGGCCCGATCCCAGCCCCCCGCCGCCTACCGGGTCCCCACACGACAGGCGCGTCTCCAGAGGTGCCTCCCTCCCACCACAAGGCTGCCCAGGGGGGGCCCGATCCCAGCCCCCCGCCGCCCCCCTGGATGTTCCTCTTCTCGCAGGCCGGCCCGGTGCCCTGCACCACGCTGTCCAGCACGTCCACCCGCCCGGAGTCGGGCTCCACGAAGCACGAGTGCCGGGCCTGCCGGATGCGCCGCTCGATGTCGG